TTATTTTTAAATTGACAATTTCATAATTAAAAAAATTCAATAAATCAAACTTTAATATATATATATATATATATATATATATATATATATATATATATATACACCCATATCTGAACATTCAAAATTGTTCTCCTTGTTTTCTGTTTCTTTGACTCAAATCTCATTTTTTCCCAAAGTTTAGAGAACAAAAATGTTAAACAAACAAGTTTTAGATGTTTTCAAAATTTTAAGAACAAAAAACAGTTTTTGAAAACTAAACCAAACATGGCCTTGGTTTCTTGCCTGAGCTCATTTCCTCAGCTTACTTTTGGTGGCTTACCCCTATTTCCACAAATCGCAAGCATTTACAGCTTTATGTGTTTCTAGTGGCCAAAATGTGTCTCAATTGGACTTAAATTCCCACTTACAGCAATTGAAAACTATTCATACATTTAAATAATGGAATAGTCTTCTGACTTGAAGATAAGTTGAAAAAGGACTATCCGTTGAACTGAAGTTTGAGATGCTAGAAGTCTGTAATTCCTTCATGATGGACTCGGCATCCATAATGTCCTGGTATGTTCAAAACAGATCAAGAACTTCTTTGCCCTCCTTTATGTTGGAACGGTTGCATGTCATCCTGCTTTCTGAATGAGTTTTTCTTATGTCCCGGCTTCTTAATCACATCATTTGATTGTCATTTTTCTTGTTGTTTTTATCCTGTAAAAGCTTTTGTTGTTGTAGTGCTTTAACTGTAAGAAACTTTGATTCCAGACATCGTGGTTGGCTAGGCAAATGTGCAAGGCCAGGGATACTATCCTAGAAAAATGCAGAATGAAGTTTCTGAACCTCAGGAACTTTCATATCTTTGTACTGTGAAGGTGAGCATTAACTCTTATATGTCTGAATTTTGTTATTCAGAGCCACATAGATCAATTAACCTTAAAAATTGAGCTTTGTGATTCTAGCAACTCTGATATTGCTTCAGCATGAAGTATAAATATGACATTCGATTACAAGTTTTGTCACAAGTTAGCCACTTATTGTGATCTTCAGTCTTATATATCTGAAAGCATAGTCTTTGAATTAAGAAAAGGCTAATGGTGATGCAAGAAATTTGCATCAGATAAATGCATCCTCCTTGGAAAATCAATTGGAGCATACATCAGATACTCCTGCATAACAGAAAGAGGGTGTTTTGTTGGAAATCAGTTAAGCTTGGCAAACCCTAGCAAGCAGCTTGGAATAGTTTACCGTTGTTTTAGGTCAAATATGTCCCTAGTGCTAATCAGTAAATGTGATAGGATGCCCTCGGCAAAAAATTTAGAGTGAGGTCACTGTTATACTTCGAATGAGAATTTCGTATATTTTTCCCTGTGGAATCTACACATAATACATCGAAGTAATCAACTATGCTCATTCTGGATTTTCTTCGATGTTTTTCATATTTCTTTGCCAAGTACGTGTGCTACTTACTATCTTTCTGTTATTCCAAATTTTCTTAGTTTCAAATATATATATACCTGTTTCTGATGGCCACAGGTACATCGTTTAATGTGCTTAGAGCTCAAGAAACTCATCCATGCAGTTTCACAGTTATTTTCAGCCATTGAATCTGCTCGACCACGATGGTCATCAGGAATGCAGGCATTGTGCTCCTTACATCTTTCCATGGAGAAAGCCAATTTAATTGTTCGGCACTGTTCTGAGTCCAGTAAACTCTACTTGGTAATATAACTCTAATGTGCATATTTTAACTGGGTATTAATTGATGTCTAACATTTTCTGTTCAATAAATACCCACACAGTGCCAGATCAATGCTTGTGCAGGCTTCATCATCTCAAAATGGGGAACGAGAATGCATAATACTTTTGAAACCTGGTCTCAGCATTAAATTCTGCCATCCAATAACTTAAAAAGAATTTAATCACAACATTGTTGCCCTAAAAAATCTCAGCTTGCTCTTAATAGTGTTTCCTAAATTGTAAGTTATTTTTTTTAGTTAATGATGGAATAATTCATTTGGTTCTGAAGTACTTTACAACATCATTTTAGCTTTCTCATAGTCATCTTGATAAATCCTTTATCTGTCATGCATAATACACAGTTTGCTTAGATATTTCGAGCTTATTTTCTGTTTTTGTGCTTCACAAATCAACCAGTCTTTTAGTTTAGGAGCTTTTGTGGGTTCTTAAATTGTTTGGGACGGTGTCCTGATGGCTATAGCCTAACAAGCACGGATGTGGATGCAGACTCGGATAAAGACATGATACGGACACGTTGGAGACACGTTACAAATATAATGTTTAATATAGAAGATAATGTAATTTATAAAAAATATAGAAATGGTAATAGTGCTATTCTTAAGAAATTAGTACTTATGACAAGGAAATTTGTCTAGTCAATTAGTATAGATTTTCAGACGAAAGGATTATAGTTGTCAATAATTATCTATTTTTTTTATAGATAATGTGTAGAAAATATACATAATTTTAATGATTGCTCTCATTTTCTCACTTCGTCTTCTTTCGCAAAACTATTATGCATTTTTTGCTTTCAATAGCAAATTTTAAGTATGACTTTATCATGATTAATCTTAAATATTGTTTTTTCCCCCACAATGTAAGATAGTCAATTGTCATGTTTTAAGCTTTGTTAATAAAATTTGAACACATGTAAATACTTTAGTAGTAGGCATGACCACACGACCCAAAGATGTATCGCACACGTTATCAAAGGAGTGTCGGATACGTGTTTGGAGCTAAAATTTTATCTCTTAAATATAGACACGAATAAAAGAGTATTAGATCTGTGTCCAAGAAGTATTGGTGTCCGATATGTGCTACGTCATATTTGCAGCAGGTGTGTCCGTACTTCTTCGGCTATAGCTGCTCCTAATTTTCAATATTTTACCTTTTTTTTCTCTGAAACGGGGTTCTTCGTGATTTGTTTATTAATAGTGTGATGATAGAAACCCTGATATCACATTCCTGCACAAGGAACTGTGAAATTTCTGAGTTGCTTTGTTACTAATATGTTTAATGCATTTAAATACTTCAGACTTGTTTTTGTGTCTTCTCAATGTCATGTTGTTCCATGCATGATAGTATTTTTCTGTGAAATTTTTCAGGCAATAACAGGGGATAAAATAGTGATGAGGTGTGAAAAAATAAGGAACACTTTGGAGTCTTGTTTAAGTCAACTTCAAAATCTGGTCCCGACAGTGTTGGCTGCACAGGTTAGTCCTACTCTATCGATGCCCTTTGCTTGTGTCATATACAAGGATTAAAATTTCGTTTCGAAACTTTCGAAATATTTTTGTTTACAAATAGACCGAAACGAATCAATGATAGAATCAAAACTCTAATACTTTAATGTGTTTCATAATGTTTTGAGGTGTTTTGTAATATTTTAATGCATTTGAAATATTATTTCAAAATGTTTCTAGGTATTACAAGATATTTTGGTATATTTCGACAAATATTTTGGAAAAATAATTCTTAAATTATTTATTTTTTTCATCCTATTTCCGATACTAGTCAAAATATTTTCGAAATACGTCGCAACGTTTTTATTTTCTAGGTGATCGAAATAATATACTAAAACAAAATTTTGATATTTGTTGATATATACATGAGTGGAATTCAGCAAGAGAAATTCTTTCATCGTTTTTTAATGCCATAGTAGTATGTGCAATTCCAAAGCAAAAGAAAATACAGTTTTAGCTTACATCTTAAAGACATACTATAGTAATCACCTGGAGGACTTATGATCACTTGCCATTGTTTCTCTTTTTGGACTGTTTCATGAAATTAAGGCGTGTTTTATTTAATTTGTCTCAAATAATACACCACCAAGTCTAATAACTACTATCTTGTTGAATTAGATTACGACATGGTTCAAAAAGTCGGCTGATATCAGTATGAGTCGGTTGGGTAGGTTCCAAGACGATACCAGTACACACGATACTTATAAACTTTGAGTCTCGCACGACTCGATCAAGCTGTATTGAAGTCAATCTTGAGTTGCCGAGATATCGTCACCAAATCGGCCAATACTGTTCTATGCCACACTATGACTTAAGTCTCTCGTCATGTTCAACATTTTCTTTTAAGTCATATCGTCCGATACCACGCTATTACGCCACGACCGATGTGTCTCATTGCTCTCCGAATCAACGGCCAATATCACAACCTTAAACCATGGATCACGATAATTAGTGAAAGTATGGATTCTTAAATAAGATATTCAGAATTTTCTTGATGTTAAAAAACAATTTCAATGGACCATAAGTTGGCCCACTGTATACTAAATTGCAGTACCCAGTTATCTGTTTCAAATTGTGCTTTTTCCTTATGAGTTCATCTGGCAAGATCTCATTTGATTTGACAATACAATTTGTTCCATTCCTTTTTGAGTGCCAAATCTATTATGATGAATGGCTATTAATTTAGGGCCTTAGATTTCCACTGCACACGCCATTATTGTTCTTGGTAGGTGCCTAATTAAGCTAAATGTATCCGTGCTATGAAGCCGCAATTGTGTTCTTCAGATGTGGCCAGTGGCCAGGATCAAAATTTTATTTTGATGTATTATTTTGATCACGTTTCGGAAATAAAATGAAAAAAGTAAAAAAAATTAAGAATTATTTTTTCCAAATGCATTAAACAATTGTGCAAATGCATTAAAACATCAAAAAATACTTCGAAACATTATGAAACACCTCGAAATATTAGAATTTTGATTATATCACTGATTCGTTTCGATTTTCTTTAAAACAGAAACGTTTCGAATATTTTGACTATTTCAAAACGAAATTTTAGATCCATGGCTGCTGGGGATTTTATACTCGACACTTTTTTACCACTGGATTGCTGTTCTTTCTGTGTATTTTGTTTTGCATGGGACCATTTGATACTGGCATGGAATGAAAATTGTTTCAATATACTTTCGCCCCAGACAGATTTTTAGTGCTCTCAAATGAGGAGACATTCCTTTTCTGACTGGTTTCCAGAAGAAGTTCTGGCATTTATTCTTCACATGGGAAGCACAAAACTTCATGAAAATTGTTGCTCTAGATTTTGTATTTTCTTTGGGCAGCCTCATTTGGATTAGGCAAATTCAATCTATTGTGTGATTGTTCTTCTTCGTAGCCTTGTTGCTTTGCTAACGGTCTAGAAAAATTGCTATGTGCAGATATACAAAATTGTTGATGATCTTAGAATTGCAACTTTTACAGTGGAATCCTCTGAAAACGAGGCTGGGGAGGTTGTACTTGCACTACTTCATCAGGACATGACTACTTCAACTTGCTTTAACGAGGCAGAATTCAAGGCATTTCGAATTGCAGCTTTAAGGCTACATATGACATCCCCCCTGGCTATCTTGATAGAGAAAAGATCTATTAAAATACAACTTGAGAAGATCCGCGATAGCGACCGGATAAAGAAGAAAATCTTGAATTACCTCTTATATCTTCTGAGGAAGTATGGAAAGTCAATTACAGCACTCCAGACAGAGTTTGTTACTCAGAATGAGAAGCCCCTGAAGAGTTCCATGGAGTCTGCATTGCATGCAGAAGAGCCAAGACCAGTGGCTCAAGCTGATGTGTTTGATGCACTGGAACCTCCTGACGAGTTCATATGCCCTCTCTCCATGAGACTGATGTTTGATCCTGTTGTCATAGCAAATGGGCAGACATTTGAAAGGTTGTGGATCGAGAAGTGGTTTAATGAGAGTAATGTCACGTGTCCAAAGACTCATACAAAGTTGTTTGATTTATCCATGACACCAAATTCTGCACTCAAGGACCTCATTTCAAAGTGGTGCATGGAGCGTGGAATCACCGTTCCTGATCCTAGTCCAGAGCCCACCACTGCTCCTCTACGTTTGCAGAACTTTTCATCTTCCAGTTCTATTGCCAGCTTTGGCAGTTCTCTAAGGGGTTTGCACCTTCAAGTCAGCAATTTATCACTTCGCTCATCAGATACTAATTATAGTTTGCATCCACTGGATGCTAACAGTGATGATGGCCGCCCTGGTTTTGATTCACCTCAGAGGGACACAGTTTTTCACAGGTATCTATCTTCGGCAGATGATAGCCATGGCATCAATTTGTCCTTCCTCAACAAACTTGCAGCCCTGCCATGGTCCTCCCAGTGCAAGGCAGTGGAAGATGTAAAAAACCAATTGAAAGACGACCAAATATCTCATTCTATGAGTTACATCAGACCACTTATCAGTTTTTTAAAAGTTGCAAATGGCTTATATGATTCAAAAGCACAGAGGGATGGAGCACAGTTGCTTTTGATATTTCTGAAGAAATGGAGGTAATGTTTTTCTATTTCTGTGGAAGTCACTGTTGTGTCATTAGATTTTCATTTTTATTTGGAAACGGCCTAAATGTATACGTTTTCAAGTAGACCAATTACGAAACAATAATTGAATCGAAATTCTAAAATTTTGGAATGTTTCGTGGTGTTTTTAGATGGTTCCGTATATTTCGACTAATTTTTTGGATTGTTTTGGAAATAAATTTCTAAATTTTTTTATCCATCTTCATTTTGTTTCCAAAATATTCTCAAAGCATTTCCATCTCTTGGGAGGTCGAAACAATACACCAAATCTCCAGTCTAGATGGGGGTGAATTTACATGGAAAATTACTACAGTGTCTAGCTTTTCTTTCATGCCTCATTATTGTGATTTTTGCATTGCTTGTGCAATTGATTTTTCCTAATGCAACTTAAGTTTCTGTGATTGTAAACAGAAGTAAAATGCCACCTTTACCAGAAGATGCTTTTTACATGTTGTCATCTTTCCTAGACTCTGAAATTACAGAAGAAGCTCTTGCAATCTTTGAAGTGCTGTCTAGCCAAGAGTATTGCAAGGCTGAAATTGTGGCATCTGGTGTTCTTCTTTCCATTTTGAAAATCCTCGAGAATGAGATCAGCGAATCGCACCTGTCCGCCCTGAAAATACTTTGTAATTTGTCAGCAGACGGAGATATTGGGTACCACATGATATACTTGGATTACATTCCGAAGCTGGCTCCATTCTTGGGTGATCGGATTCTTGCAGGATATTGCATCAAAATTCTGAAGAACTTATGCAATATCGAGGATGCTGGGGTTACAGTTGCTGAAAATGATGCTTGTATGACTTACATAGGAGAACAACTAGAAATTGGGACTGATGAGGATCAAGAACTTGTCATGGATTTTATTTTGTCTTTATGTATTCAAAACAAAGAGTTATGTGAACTGGTCATGAAAGAGAGCATTGTTTCATCAGTAGTCAGCATATCTATCAACGGCAAATCTAGAGGGAAGGAGATTGCAATAAACTTGCTACAGCTCTTGAAAGATTTCAGTGATGACCATGCTGCTCAAGAATGTCCAATTGCAAAGAATACTTCAAATCCCGACGTCTTCAAAGAATCTAGCAAGCACCCCCGAGACAAGAAATCATCATCTAAGGCATCTGGACTAATGGGAAGGAAAATATCAATTTTCTCAAAAACCAGACGGTAGTTTTTTTAAACCCTGTGCTGATTTCAATGGCTCTCTTCGTATAAGCTTATTGTGAATGGGGGGCCAAGGTGATGCCTACTATTATATTGATCCCTCAATGCCCCCTTGTGCAGGCTTTTCTACAAGATAGAAATGAAGAGTCTAGTTGCATTTTGTATTGAGCATCTTAGTCTTTTTTTTCACTTTCAGGACAGTTTTTATTCTTTTTACATACAGTGCTGCAGCGATCTGGCTCCTGTAAACTATAGAAGTTTTTGCTAGTATTTTGAACATTTTATTAATCCAGTTTAATTAAAATGTACAAATTTTGTTAAGATTGCACGTTTCCGCGGTTATTATTGTTGAAAATTTATTGGAACCTGTTTGTAATCACCACAGGCTTATGTTCTATGTGATGGACTTTTGGATGACATTTTGACATGAATCTGATGCTTATGATCTGAGGATTACGAGCATCTTGCAGTCTCTTCCAAATTTGTTTATCTATTTTTCAGGATCTTGTTTTTAACAAGAGTATAAGCTTTCATTGGTTCATTTTTAGCATCTATGCTCTTTTTCTTCTTTCCTTTTTTGGCGTAGTGTTAATTGCACCAGAGGCTCCCCAAGTATAAAATTTGTATCATTTTGGTCCCTAAAGTATAAAGTTTGTCTTATTTTGATTTCCAATAATTGCATCATTGTTGTCCATGAATTATTGAATATGTTTTTATGTGGTCCCTTAACCAGACAATATTCAAATTATTAATAGTTTTTTTTATCATAAATCTGTCATGTGATTCAAAACTGTATAATTTGAGTATCTTTTTGAACAAAATTGGGGTAAAAATGTAGCCAAAAGTTATTCAAATTATTTTTTTATCCATATTTAAGTATTACGTGACAAGTTTATGATAAAAAATTATTAGTAATCTAGCCGCTATGTTGTTGTTTATTTGAGGAACTATATAGAAATATATTCAATACTTCAGTAACTAAAATGATGCAATTGAAATATTATGAACTAAAATGAGACAAGCATCATACATTGGAGACCTACAATGCAATTAACCCTTTGAGACTTACTATAAGTCACTATAGCTGTACTAGTGCAGGTTTCTTGCATGTATGCTTCAATTATAGCAGTTGAATAATTTTCAATCTTACATTAAGACAATACGAAAAAAACAATATTTTGTATTTTATGAGAAACCATCCTTGTTTTCTTCATGTGTTACAATATTTTCTCTATAATTTGAGTATAAATGTTTGGTGGAAGGAAGTTGTGGAAGCATTTCAAAGGTGTTACAACTTACAAATGCTTTGAGTATTCTAATAGTATTCGCCCTTAATGAACTCATTCAGTCGCTTCACATCCCCACTTTGCTGCTCCACCACTGCACGAACAACGTCTACAATGGAGATCATGCCTACTATCTTTCGATCTATCACTGGAACATGCCTTATATGATTCTCTGTAAACATCAAGAATTGTTCATTTCCCTTCTGTAAACATCAAGAATTATCCTTTTGGCATCATGAATCGCAAGTATAATAATACTTACCTGTCATCAGTTGCATTGCATGAAAAATGTTTGTGTCGGATGTCACTGTTATCAACTTGCTCTGGAGAAGTTCAAATTTTAGCAGGGTAAGAAAAAGAGCAGTATGGGGAGTTGAGGGCATAAAGTGGTACCAGGGTAGCAAGCAATAACCTGAGTCGTCATGATTTCCCCAACCCGCGTGTATTTTGATGCTCTGTCCTGCACGATTACCTTTCGCAGATAATCTGTATCAACAAACAATGTAAAAATCACTAATAAGCACAAGTCACTGCATCAATCCCATTTAAGGTTGAACCCTCATCATCAGCCTTCAACGTAACTCGTACCAAATTTACGAGTTACAGTGAAGGCTGATGATGAGTGTCCAACTGTTTAATTTGTGGATTAATAACAGAACATACTCTGGAGGTTCATTACCTCTTTCTGTGATTATTCCTGCTATCAGTTCTTGCTCTCCTGGTCTTACAACCACTAGAGACCCTATATTGTTTTGTGCCATCTGCAGTTTTGTCACCATGATTGCGAAAAATTGATTAACGGTAAGTACACTAAGTGTTTTATTTTCATATTTCTCCGAGGTTTTCAGGAACATACTTGCTTCACAGCATCATACACTGTGTCGGTGGTGCGGCACCAGAGCCAAGACCCGACTTGTTCTTCTCCCTTTGTCATTAGTACTTCTGCCACCGTCGTGTTTTCCAATCCCTTATGCTGCGTTGGAGGAGAGGAGGTGGCAAATCCATAACGTGAGAATACTTTTTTCATCTCAGCTGTATCTCTCAAAACCAAGTGTTGTAGATTTGCAAGCTTCAGTGTTCCCTGGCAAGTTCTAACTGCTCGGGTAAGGCCTTGCATTTTTCACCTGTAATTCAAAAATCACAGTTGCCAATGATCAACATATTTTGTCTCTAATTGAAGCATTGATATAACTTACACATATCTGATCTATGTTTTAAGTGCATCATTAGGAAAATAAGAAATGTGATTTTAACATGCACAGGTTGGTTTAGTAATCAAACAATGGATGCGGTTAAAATCCACATGTCTTGAATTTGAGTCTGCTGGTCGTGTATAAAATTGGGGTTTAACCGATGTTTGTGGTTAACGGCTCAAATGAGTAAATTGGAGACCATGTTAGTGAATTATTAACAGACATGATGACTGAGACATGGACAGCCATTGTAATTCCATATAGGAGACGGGTTGGGGTACATATACCTTGTTAGCAGAGAAGATGGCTTGAACTTGGAATTGGAAGCTCCCCTTGTCTGTGAAGATATAAAGCTATCATCATTGAAGGCCATTCAAAAGGGAAAGTAGCTCATCTTCCCTTCCTAGTTTACTTGGTTAAACTTCGGGTGTGTTCTTTTCTTGAATAACTAGGTGAAAGTTATGAAGGAATATGTGTAGGCTTAGCTTGTTTTGGTACGTTGCTTCTTTAAAAGGGGATATTATGGAAAAGAACCAGAAAAGATTTATGTGTGACTTGTTATTAGGGCGTCCTATCACGTGTCAAATGATGATACCTACCCTTTTCTCACCCTTGTACGAGAACGTATCTATAGCATATGAAAAATTACATACGACAAATGGCAGTTTCATTATTTGATGATTCTATTATATACAAGGAACACCTTTAGGAGAAAATAAAGTGTATGCCCATTTACCCCACCATCACAAGATGAACAAAGGAAAATGTACAACAAAGAGAAGCCATTGAAATCAGATGCCATACTTGCCAGAGAAGGAAAATTTGTATGGAGAATCAAACATACCTCAAAGCAGAAGTATTCCCCGGAAAGAGGCAAAGAAGCAGGCTGTGAAAGTTCCAACATTGAAGCAATACAAAAGTCGCAAGTCACTTTCAAAAAGTTTCTAAGGTATCGAAAATGAACCTATTTATAACACCCCTGGTCATGTTTAAAATCCATCAAACTCGGAACATTACAAACCATTGCTCATTTGTATAATCGAATTGTTGTTCTTAATTAGCCATGCAAAGAAGGTCGTCACGCTTTCGATTCCCTTGGTCAAAACCACAAGCTCCCGGCCCATCCCAAAGCCCTTCCAAACCCACTGTCTCCCGAACCCCTACACGGACAACCACCACAACTCCCACTCAGAACCAAACCACTGCCACTCCAACCCCTACCCAACCCACCACCAGAAGTCCCACTGGGAGCCAACCCGTTGCCTCCCCATCCCCTACCCAGCGAACCACCAGAAGTCCCACTGGGAGCCAACCCACTGCCACCACATCCCCAACCCCACCAACTACCAGAAGTCCCACTGGGAGCCAATCTGCTGCCACCACATCCCCAACCCCACCAACTACCACAAGTCCCACTGGGAGCCACCCCGCAGTCACACCATCCCCTACCCAGCGAGCCACCACAAGTCCCACTGGGAGCCAATCCGCTGCCACCCCATCCCCAACCCCACCAACCACCATAAGTCCCACTGGGAGCCAACCTGCTGCCACACCATCCCCAACCCCACCAACCACAACAAGTCCCACTGGGAGCCAATCCACTGCCACATCCCCAACACTACCAACTACCACAAGTCCCACTGGTAGCCAACCCACAGCCACACCATCCCCTACCCAGCAAACCACCACAAGTCCCACTGGGAGCCAACCCACAGCCACACCATCCCCTACCCAGCGAACCATCACAAGTCCCTCCCAGATCCAACCCACTGCCACCACATTCCTAACCCCACCAACTACCACACGTCCCACTGGAAGCCAACCCGCTGCCACACCATCCCCCACCCAGAGAACCACCACAAGTCCCTCTCAGATCCAACCCACTGCCACCACATCCCCAACCCCACCAACTAACACAACTCCCACTCAAAGCCAAGCCGCAGCCACCCCAACCCCTACCGAGGCAACTACCAAAACTCCAACTGGGAGCCAACGCGCTGATGCCCCAACCCTTACCCCGTCCACTGCCACAACACCTACTGTGAGCCAACCTGCTACCACCCCAACACCTTCCCAACTCACTACCACAACTCCCAGCCAGAGGCCACCATTAAGACCTCCGAGGACAACCCCAAGACAGCCAACTCAAACACCAAGAACATCTGGTACAGTCACTGCAGATCAAGCTGCTTCTCAACTAACATCACCACCCGGTCGAGCAGCTCAAACCCGAGGGGCTGAGTCATCACAATCCCGTGTAGCCACTCAACCGCAAGCTGCCTCTCAGCCCTCATCCTCATCTCAGTCAACTTCCCAGCCCCAAAGAACAGCTCAAACAACCCCTCAGCCACGATCCCCAACTCGTTTGGTCTCTGAGCCTGCTGGTAAAACACCCTCAGTCCCTGTTTCTCCGTCTATCACAGCCTCTCAAGTGCAACCAATAGTAGAATCAGTTTCTCAGACCCCTTCGCATTCTAAAACATCACAACCCCCAACTCAAGAGAGTTCTCAACCTCAGCCTCCTCCCAGTTCCAATGAGGCCCCACCCCCTATCCCTGAAAGAGAGGAACCAAAACCAGTTGTGTCTTCTCCACAGCCAGTAGAGCCTCAACCCAAGATAGAAACAATGTCAAATACTGTCACAGGCTCCAAGGACCTAACCACGGTCGAAACAAACACTCAACCCAGTGGAATGGAAACACAACCTTCAAATGTATCAGACCCCGTAGCAGATTTTACTCCAACTCCAGCAGTGGCTCCAGAAACACCTAACCCACCCCAACCAGCAGGTTCTCCTTCAAGAATGGCCAAGATAAAGCCCCTCTCAGTATCAGATGTGAAGTCTCAGGAAACTAAAGAAGGGGAGGGAGCAATGCAAAAGACCAATGGTATAGTAAATGAAGAATCAAAGCAGAAGGGCATCACTGAGCTTCACACTGTCTTTTCAAGCCCAAAAGAACAGATCAAAGAACAGTCGGTTGTCTCATTTCCGACAGAACAGATCAAAGAACAGTCGGTTGTCTCATTTCCGACAGAACAGATCAAAGAACAGATAAAGCCCCTCTCAGTATCAGATGTGAAGTCTCAGGAAACTAAAGAAGGGGAGGGAGCAATGCAAAAGACCAATGGTATAGTAAATGAAGAATCAAAGCAGAAGGGCATCACTGAGCTTCACACTGTCTTTTCAAGCCCAAAAGAACAGATCAAAGAACAGTCGGTTGTCTCATTTCCGACAGAACAGATCAAAGAACAGTCGGTTGTCTCATTTCCGACAGAACAGATCAAAGAACAGATAAAGCCCCTCTCAGTATCAGATGTGAAGTCTCAGGAAACTAAAGAAGGGGAGGGAGCAATGCAAAAGACCAATGGTATAGTAAATGAAGAATCAAAGCAGAAGGGCATCACTGAGCTTCACACTGTCTTTTCAAGCCCAAAAGAACAGATCAAAGAACAGTCGGTTGTCTCATTTCCGACAGAACAGATCAAAGAACAGTCGGTTGTCTCATTTCCGACAGAACAGATCAAAGAACAGATAAAGCCCCTCTCAGTATCAGATGTGAAGTCTCAGGAAACTAAAGAAGGGGAGGGAGCAATGCAAAAGACCAATGGTATAGTAAATGAAGAATCAAAGCAGAAGGGCATCACTGAGCTTCACACTGTCTTTTCAAGCCCAAAAGAACAGATCAAAGAACAGTCGGTTGTCTCATTTCCGACAGAACAGAAACAGCAGAAGCAGGAAGTGGTGCTCAGCACAAAGGAGGTGTTAACCACCTCCGTCTCTACTGGAAAACAAACCAAAGCCATGCTTTCAAATATGAAAGAGAAAAAAAAGGTAAGCGAATCTCATCAAAAGTCTGCTATAATCAACGGAGGGCGTGTTCCCCTGCACAAGAAGATCAGGGATGATATTTCTGATTTTGTTCATCATATGGTTGTTGGGCACCAAAAGCATGACATGGAAAAAAAAGTGGTGAGCGTTATAACCCTTGCTGGTGAAAGTAGAGGAGCATCCATGCACCTAGGTTCTGAGCCAGCAACAAAAGAAAGCATAATCCATATTCACAGAGGCTATAAGATCAATCCTGATGAGAGTGTCGAAGCCACCACTGATGGAGAGGAAGGCTCCAAAATGAGAAAGTCAGAAGATGCAAAAACCAAAGAAGTTAAGGGAACACAAGCATATACAAACAGTAACATACAGGGAATCAATAACTCAATCATGCTGAACAGTTCCATCACCGAAAGAAACCCTGGTGTCCACCTGGTTCTCTCTTGTAATCCACCAGAACCGATCAAGTCAAAAAGAAAACCAGAACCCCTTGAAACACATAAGGCTGAATTCAACGTCACGCCCACCCAGAAGCTCACTTACGAGCCCAGAGTCAGAAGGAGATGCCTCAGAGGCATTTTCATGGAACCTAGTGATTCAGACCCAGAAAATCCTGACAAGCATCGTCGTCATGGTTGCCAATATGGCTGCGGGGAGAAGAGTAAACATAATGAGATAGATATTATCTGAACAAGTGAATTACTGCATATTTACAACACCAGATGCTGGCAGATAACAACCCTGCACATTATAAGAGAATTTTTTAAAACAAAGCAATAACCAGGACGCTACATCACCCATGGAGTCCTGTTTGTCATTGTATGCATACCTCAAATCGTTCGAATTTCATGGAGGAAGGTGTGGTGTGCAAAATTCTGTACTCAAAAGTTAAATGCTGATTACCAAGTGTTTAAATATACAATTAACAAGAAGTCCTCTAGTGTTACACTTCTGCGTAAACTAAACATACAAATTCTAATGTGATGAAAATACACACTCTGGAGATATGTTTTAGAACTACCCAACTGCAGGTTTTATAGATTTTGCATCGTGCAATACATTCTCTGAGTACCAGCTATCATAATAGAATAATGCCTGCACGGCACTCACCGATGAAAAGGTTAAAACCTAAAGAGCTTCCTTTACTAAAAATACATACAACCAACTGGTAAGAAAACAAAGCATGATCATGGCCCCCCATACAAATAGAATCACTATTCGCATGCCGGTTTAGTGTCAAAGCTGCTTAAACAGATTGCAAATGCTTGAAAGGCAGACAGAGGGTAGCGATAGTCCATGGTAAAAATGTCTTTTCCAATCTTTCCAAATTGTAGTATCACTTTCTCCAGCTCTGCAGCTGGGACATTTTGGGAGGCATCAACGGCTGCCACCAGCTGAAAGTTTTTGACGGAGGCCACTGTAACTCGTCCTTTGAAATTTAGGCACCAGCACTGCAATTGCTCATGCCATCTAGGAGCTTTATTTTTCAAAACCAGTGGGTCTCCTGTGTTGCTAATTGAGTCAAGTGGCTCAGCTAGACAAGTGGAGCTAAGTTCTTGGTTTTTGCCATTCATATCTGACAAGAGAAATAATTTCTCATCAAGGCAATCCCCAAATGTTGCTGGAGTAGGGGCAGTTCCACCTTCCTGAATTGCAGAGACAGGGATCAAGTGCATGGTGCACTTCATCCTCCTTGGTCCTCTGGTACGAAGAATATTGAGCTCATAAGATATGGTGGCCACATTGTGATTACCAACTGGTACCCTCGGAGGTACCTTCTTTGAAAAGATTTTTCGATGTGACCGACCATTGGATTGTATTGTAAAGTCACATGGTGGCTGACTGTCATAAATAACAAACTTTGTACCAAGGAAATTGGACCTGTTCATAGCCTACCAGTCAATCAAATGAAAAGAGGAACATAACAATACAAAGATAAGAAGAAGAGGCTTCTAAAGCTAACCTCAGTTTCCCAACATAAGTGTCACTAGCCCGAGAAAAATCATCTGCGACCAAGGATATCAAAAAATCTGTATTTGTTGCCCTTCTGATCTTTCTTGCCGCCAATAATAATTTACTACCGTCACCTGACAACACTGTGATAAGGTAAACACTGTCAGTGTTGTACAAATTAACAACTGGAGTCACTATTTAAACATTTTAATGATCAACTGCTTTATAAGAAAGAACGACATAAGAAACAAATATGGGAATATCTGCCATTTCATTTCCAAAATTATGAGAGACTTAAGCAAGAACAATGTTCAGTTTGACATTGTCAAGCATTTTCAAAATATTTATTAGATACTCAACTGAATGCAATCACTGACAGTCAAGTCAATCAAGAAAGCTGAGCATCATTTACCAGGACTCAGGCCTAGATACAACTGGTACGTAGAAGTTGCCCTTTCCCTTTTTATGAAGCACTGAATGGGAGAGTCTCTTGGTCCCGGCTAATAGATATTAAGAAACCCAAAAAAAAGTGCTAAGTCAGAATATATGCAGTAGAACACAAGAATTTGGAACTTGGAAAGGTGTTGGTTTGTTGGGGGAGAAGACGGGAAGAGGGCAAGTTAACCTGCTTTAAGGACATGGGGAAAGTGAGCAAACCACATTGCTCCGGAGTCCTCACAACCTCTTTTGTCATTTCCCTCCATGTCCTGCAAACTGCAGCACAAGCAACCACATCCCTCCGGGCAGGCCATAAGGTCTCTCTCGCTTCTACACGCCGAAGTATGTCAATAAGCAACTCGGGGGGTAAATTTGCCCACCGGCTCTGTTGAATCCATGAACATGGAGATGGTGACATTTCAGGTGCAATATGCGATGTTCCACGACCAAGCACACATTTCCTCTCATCTCGCCTTCTAGATTTGTTCTCAATATTACCTCGGATGCCCTTGAGTTCACGAACTATGCCTTTGAATGGCATCTCTATGCAACGAATCCTTTGCTTGATCTCCCTGATGAAGAATTTAATTAAAGTTAGATCAAAATGAACCATATATCGGGCTGCTTTAATTGTAAAGGCATCAATGCTCATATTCCATCCAACTATACTAAAAACAACAATTAACTGCAGGTTTTCCGCTTTTCTACCCGAAGATCAGGGCCTGTTGTTTGAGATTTTGGGCACTAAAATCAAGGCTGAGCAAGTTTTTTGCAATGCGAGAAATGTAAAAAAAATGCTTGAGCTCAATACTTTTGTGTTCCTTCATTTCCATTAAAATCAAAATCAAAAAAAAAAAAAACAACGCAGTTCTGTTAATTACAAAACATGTTCAATTAAGACTCGGAATGCCTACATAAATACTATGTCAGCAATTGAATGTGTGCAATATACAACACTTTTCTAGCAAAAAGATAAATCACCTAAAATGATATATATGAATCGCAATTAGTTCCTTCAAACAAAATATTCAAAATTTTCAGTTCCTTCTTCTTCTTCTTCTTCTAAATCCAGTCAGAATTTTTTTTTCTTCTTCAAAAAAATGCATCAATGAATATCAGAAACTGTTTGGCTACTGAGAAAGAGGGAAAAAAGAACTACATATTGTGAACCTCGGTTAATGCAAGTGTTTCCTATTTGGAAAGAAAACGTAACAGCATAAAATATCCAAATTCTTCTCCTTTCCTCCCTTATTTGTTGCAACTTTCTCAACAACCAAACAAAAACTTAATAATCGCTAAGAATGCTCGAACTGCAGAAAATTTAATGTACCTGGTGTTCGACGCTTCGATGAAATCGCCCGAAATCCTCGAAAGATTTCAGATCTAAATCGCGATAAAAATCCAAATCCTTTCACGTTTCGATGTCCCCCAAACACAAAACAGGAATAATCTGAAACCGAAAAATATGAAGCGGCCGAGGAATTATTGGAAAAATAATCTTATTCAACAGATTCCAATGTCTCGGAGAAGGAGGCTTTTTATTGATAAGATAGCGAAACAGAGAGACCGACAGGAAGTAGAATATCAATGCCGACCATGTTCGATATATACCACTCCACTATTATAGCTCGGCACCACCACCACAACCACCGCCACCAGTTCTCCGCCACTTCCACAGCCTCACTTGATTCTCCCTCCACCGCCAGAGCCGCCTCTCCCACCGCGGCCACAAGCTTTTATAGGATCGGGAACTCTCGTCTTGGAAGTTGGAACCGCTCCTTTTGATTTCGTCCGTTAAATTAACGGTAGGGTGTTACCTTACGTGTGAGTGCTCGGATCTTAGTTAATGACCGCTTTGTACACCTGATTAAGCGGTAGGTTGATGGGCCCCTTCTGGTTTCGTGCGTTTTTGTTTTATTTTCCTTGTCTTTTTCCTCTTTTTTTTTTTTTAATGCAACCCAAAAATTATCCAATTACAAGAGGGATAAATTATCAAATTATTTTTATCTCAAAAAAATATTTTTTTTATCAGAAATTATCAAATTATTTTTTTTCCAATGAATAATCAAGTTTTTTGTTTTTTATTTTTATTTTATGTAAAATCAAGTTTATATTGTATTTAGAATTGCACGTACCGTCTAAATGTAGACATCATCAGTATGACTAATTTTGCGTTAGTGTTAAATTGACCGAAAAATAATATGTAGCACTGACATAATGATACTTTTAAAACCCACATTTATACAATTTTGAATTAATTCGTTCATTATGTTAGTGCCACATCTTTTTATCCTTTACTTAGGTTTGTCGATAGATTCTAATTCGAATTCGATCTGAATCCGATTAATTAGATGTAGATTAATATTTTTTATCGATAATTCAAATATAATATCTTATATTTCATGGATTTGGATTTTGATATACCTATATTCGTTCCGATTATAATCTGATATATATTATTTATATGTTTTTATATAAATATTTAAGGAATTTAGTTAAAATTTAGGTATGATTTATTAAAATTTAGTTAATTAAATTATTCAGATCGGATGGGATCGAATCAGATTACGAACTGTCAACAAATTCGGATATGGATCACGAAAATAAAATTTATCAATTTCAGATCAGTCAGAATCCGATTCAAACCCAATCCAACTTACTTATAATCCTATTTTCTTATGAGTTTAACATTACTTTAAATTTTTAAACAATGTATAAGTTCAGTGATGAAAGTCGAATCAGTAAACGAGATTAGAGGTTCATCACCATCGTTTAACAATTGGAAAAAAAATCCGACAACCAATCCCTACTCATTAAAAGGCATATACCACCACCAATGCCCAATTAATTCAAAAGAATAAGAGTCAATAGAAAGATGTCGCTTATACATTTTCCTTAAGCTTACTCGGTATTTATGATTTATAAGTGGTTATAAATATTCGAAACTTACTCTATGTAGATGGTCTAATGTAATAAGCTTTAACGATGTTGCTCGTAATAAAATAAGTAAGAGAGTAAGGTGGTGTTTGATAAAATTAAAATTTGAAGTCTGAAAGCTGAAAGTTGGATATTAAATTTATGAACTGTTTAGTATCCACTAAAATTTAAGTACTGAATTAAATCAAACTGTTTGATAATTACATAGAACTGACGTTTGAAAATAAATTAATTTTTAATTTTATCCCTCTACTCTTTAATTTAAAAATATTTATAAAATATGTTTTTATCTAATAAAAAATAAAAATATATAAAATCAATAATAAATTGAATAATACAATAACTGAGTAATAACATATGATCAAAAAAAAAAAACAACGACAAATAAATATTCAAATAACAAAAAGTGAACAATAATAAATTAAATTACACAATAAGTGAACAATAACATATGATTAAAAAAATAACTAATAAATAATCGGATAACAATAGGTAAAAAAATAATAAATAATCAAATTAAAAAATTAAATTAAATTAAATCTCATTAATAATATGTGTGTGTAATTTGTCCTTGTGTGTGGGTAGTTTGGGTGGGTGAGTCGATGTGTACATAGTGCATGTGTGTGTGTGTGTGAATGTGGATGTGGGTGTGGGTGTGGGTGTGGGTGTGGGCATGTGTGTGCAGTAAACGTGGGTGTGTGTTTCAACATGTTTATTTGCAATAGACGAGCGAAGAAAAAAATAAAAAAAGACGACTGACAAGGAGGATAGATAGATGAGTTTTAATAGGATTGTAAAATATTTCAAGGTATAATAGTCATATTATAAATATTATTAAATATGATTTTATTAAGCGTTTTCAACTTTTAGAATTATGTAAGGAATTTTCTACTTAATATTATAACTTATTTTAAAAGAACATTTAACATATTAAAAGATTTAAAATTTTAGTTATCAAACGAGTTTAAACTGTTAAATATATTCATTTTAAGTTTTAAATTTGAATTAACAAATACACCCTCCATAATTTCCTTATCACTTAAAACTTTGCGATTAATTTATTTTTATTTTTAAAAATAGTACTTCTTACAATCAAAATTTATCTTTGTGATCATTGTACAAATTGAGTAAGATTAAAAAAAAAAAGAAAAAGAAAGAAGAAGATAATTTAATCAACTATTCCATGCTTTTTAGTGTCAAATAAGAAAAAGACCCCACTTTTCAGTGATGGGAGGGCCCCTCAACAGCATGTGAAGGTCCCCCACGGGCCCCACCATAAAGCCTTCGTGTCACATTCAGCCTGGATGCCATCATGCTTGCACGTGAACTTATTTCTATTATAATTAAAAAGTCGAAAGGATGCTAAACATCTCTACTAAGCTCTTGTTGGGGTTATTAAGGTAGGAGAAGGTGGGACATTGGGAATCTTTTTTTAAGACTAGGTTTCTGTTTGTATGGTACCATTTGATATATGTCACAAAATATCAATAATGGAAGAAATCATTTTGAAGTAATAATTGAAACGGGTGATAAATTTAGATGTTTTAAATTTAAATTTTGATAATTCTTTGAGGTTATTTTTTATGAATACCTTAATTCTAACGTAAATAATCTGTTTTTGACCAGACTGAATATAAGATTAGTTATGCATAAACTGATATATACTTCCATAATCATTGAACCAAAAAAAAAAAAAAAAAAAAATAAATCATTCTGTCTATCATGCTATTAAAGTGATGTCGCAAAAACTTTGTTGCGGTGATGATATTGTAAGGGCGGTCCTGCATAAAAATAACTTGACGCCAGGATGATAAAAAGTTTAACATCTCTCATCCTTATTACTTTTTCAATATGAAAAATCAAAAGATCGTCTTATTCAAATCCCCAATTATGGCGTCCCTTTCTCTCCCACTTTACACCTCAGAACGCACCGTTCTTATAGAGAGAAACACATTTTCATATCTTCTTAACTCAAAATGGTTGGGGAGAGAAAATATTCCTTTTTTTTAGGGTATTACAGGGAACAGATCCAGTGGAGACGGGAAAAAGGTCGTCTCCTACTCCATTCCTTCTTAAAGTCAAGAATGACGAGATGAGCGCCTTACTAGAAGGTCATCCTTTACTTCATTCTTTCCTAACATTAGGAATGACAGGATGAAAGACTTCCTAAAAGAGCATCCCTTACTCCATTCCTTCCTAACGTCAGGAATGACGGGATGAGAGACTTCCTAGGAGAGCATCCCTTAGTCCATTCCTTCTTAAAGTCACAAATGGGGGAATGAAACTCCTTCCTTAAGTGAGTGAAGTGACTCATCGGTCCCAATTTTTAAAATTAGATGTGGAGGCAAAGTAAGACTCTCTCTTTCTTCATGGAAGATGGAAGAAAATTTTGAGTATCACTTGTCACTTTTATCTTCATCTTTATGGTGGGATTCAACAAGAAAGTTATGGACATGTTCCATGGAATAACATATATCTCCACCAATAATGGAGGCTTGGGACTCACAATATTTGGTTACAACCTAATATTTTGCACAAAAAGATAGATTGGGGATCTAAGGACATGATCATTGATCAACTTAGTTAAGAGAATGGGTTTGTTACACCTAATTTATTATGATGGATCCAAATAATTCGGGTCGGTCTCACACTCTTTAGCAACGATGATTTCACATTTTTAAACAATTCAGATCGATCTCAAACTCACTCTTCTTAATACTTATTACCTTCTCAAAACCAACTAATTGCCATGTCTTGATGTCCTATATGCTAGCAAATCTAACCACAATATAGATTAGGGGTCCACAGTCTCCAAACACCTCAACCAACCATTATCAAATACATATTTTCTTTCTCAGAAAAGCTTGAGTGTATTATTGAAAACCTCTAGTCTAATCTACAGCGACTCTTTGATGATGAAGAGAAAAGGACAGCACTTATGTTGGTTGGTTGACAATTTAATCAAATCCAAAACAACTCAATAACTTTATGAGTTATATTGTTTTGCCAAGTAGATGAGTAATAGATATCCTTTCAAAAGCCATGAGCTTATTGTGTGTCGAGTTTCAAGAATCACTCCAACTCTCTCAATTGTATGTTTTTTAAACTCGTGATTATAACACAAATTTCAAATGCACGTAATAATCACACAAATTATGTGCATCAGACAAATCAAGACTTCTTTGCATAACACAAACTTAAAGATTTTGAAATGATAACTCAAAAAACTTCTTATCCGACTACATGATGAGTTAAATTGACGATGTGTAAACTTGAAACGTGAAATATATGCTTGAATTGAAGAACTCAAAACTTAAGAATAGTAATGTATGAATGAACAGTGTAGAAGAAATTGATCTAAGATTGAGCTTAATGACATTGTAAGATGCTATAATAAAAGTATAACAAAGGTAAGAGCTACAAAATAAACAAGAGGTAGACCGTTAGAGACTACATTTCTTAAGTGAGACGTGACCTTCTAAAATATGTTGAGGTGGTCTTGTGACCTGTCTTCAAGTTTGTATACAATGTGGTCTTCCATATTTATGAAAAATTTTGATGTGAGATCGTCCTGCTTGAGAAAACCTCTTATACTCTCAATTTGCTCATGAATAAAGAAGCTCGCTTTAAACAATTGACTTGAGCTTGAAATGATGATTTTCTTCATGACGTAACATGAACGATCTGAATATCTGTATTTGAAGTTGTATTTGGACGACCATGACACTTCTTCTTGAGGCTAAATACGCAATTGGAGGTCGAGAGACAGACATTCGTCTATTGACTCTTTTCACAAGTCAATTATGAAAATATCCTCCTACTTGTTTTTAATATCATCAAGCACAGAATATGAAAACAAGGAGGTAGGGGTTGGGTT